CTGTCTGTCTGTCTGTCTGTCTGTCTGTCTGTCTGTCTGTCTGTCTGTCTGTCTGTCTGTCTGTCTGTCTGTCTGTCTGTCTGTCTGTCATCTTCCGCCCTCTTACAAAAAATATAATTTTAGTGCTATTTGGTATCAACTTGTTTGCAGGATTGTTGTCTCATTTGTAATCTGATTTATTTGTTCCAGGAATGAAATTGTACTGTTACGTAAAATGTATTACTAAAAATAATTAATAAATGATTTGTACACTTATAATTTTTGATGTTTAGAAAGAAAAATAAAGAACCTCAACATTTAAAACATTTTTTTAAGAATTTAAAGCAAGTTTAAGCAAGCCTTTTTTCAATAATTCAACATGTATATTTTATGCAGTAATTTTTTTAATTGAATTTTATGAGAAAAAAGTATTTCCTTGAAGAATTTTTACAATTTTTTTTGTTTTTTGTTTTTAACAAATATTGTGTGCTTTGTTCTAATTGTCAGTGTTAATTAGTGGTTGTTTAGTTCAAGTTAAATCATTATTTTTACAAATGCTATCATATCTATGTTCTTAAAACCACTGTGTCTCTGCTGACATAGAACAATGCTATTGAGATCTTCATGAAAAATGGGCACTCAGCATTCTTGGTATTCCCAAATAAGGACCACGTCTCAGCATATAAAAGGTAACAAAGAAAACTGTAATGACAGATAAAAAACAAACAAAAAAAAAACAACCTATAAATTTTCTGCATCCTGACCGCTGTTTCCTCTTTTCCATTTAGATTAAGCAGTGTTGTACCAGCATTAAAGGGCAGAGCAGTCTCTGAAGTCATTGCTAATGCCAAGTAAGTGTCTTTATTATTTGTTACAGTCATATTAAAGGCACACTTGAGCAATTCAATCAGTTTTATTCATATGAAATACATGGTGAGCTAAAAATAAAAAAAAATWGTTACTTCTAGAATTTTTAGATTTTCCATAGCTGAACTCAACAGATGCTAGGTCATTTGATTTTCTTGTTTTTCACATTGTCTTTCATTCTCCACACATCCTGAGTGACTGAGGCCACTGAGTTCGGTGTTATCAGTCCTGCAAAAGATATTTTCTCTTTCTCATCAAACTTATCTCTGTCTTCACTTCTTTCTCCCTTCATAAGCCTTTCCCTTTGGGCTTTRCATTTCTGAAGGCATTCCTTACACAGAGTGCTTTCATGGACTAAGTACATATCGTTTTTTGGTTCGGCCATTTTCTTCTTCACCTGCTCGCTTTTTTCCTTAAGATATGCTAGAGGATTGCGTGCCACATTCAACTTAGTGAGTTTCTGCATGGTTTTCACAAAGTCGGGAAGCTTGATGAAGCGGTTATCAAACAGGCCTAACTCTTGAAGGTCGACCAAGCGCTCCATGTTGTGAGGCAAGGCATCCAGCTGGTTCATTCCAAGATTGAGACTCTTCAGTTTGGTGAGAGAACCCAGTGAGGATGGCAAACCTGCAGAGGTCAGGCAGTTATTTGCAAGGTTGAGGTGGGTCAGTTCCACCAGGCTGCCGATGGACTCAGGCACAGACACCAGCTTGTTACTGTGCACATCCAAAAACCTGAGGGATAAGAAGTCTCCGATGTTATCAGGAAGTTTCTGAATCAGGTTGCGACTAAGGTCCAACTCCTCCACGTTGTCCAGCTTGAAAAGACAGTTGGGGAAAATGGTTAAACCCATGTTGCTTAGAGTGAGTCTACGTCTTCCATCCAGGGTCATTTTTATGGCTTTTCTTGCTGTCTTGAGGGTCACCTTCGTCCCTTTGGCTTCTTTTCCTTTGGGCATCGTGCTGCAATAAACAGAGAATTACTCAGCAGCTCAGTTAAAAACGTCAGCTCAGCCTCCCTTTGTTGACTTTTACCCCAAGAGGCCGATTTCCAAAATGTATTTAATTCCCACCATCACACAGTACTCGGGGAAATAAATGTGTTGTGTGTTTGTTCATGGGTAAGTATGCATGTGTAAAGCTGACGTGATTTATTCCAATACGGTGGCCTGTGTATGTCCTGGGGCAGTGGGGAAAGCATGCACTCAGAGGAACGAGAACAACGCGTGTGTGCGTCGCGGTGTCRTGTCTGCACTGGTGCGTGCTCACCCTGTGTTGCCCATGGGGGTATTTAAGAGCACGACTCTCTAATTAAGGCTAATGCTTGGGAACAATAGGAGTGGGGCGACACAGGAAAATATAGGAAGAACACGAGCGTTCGTTCTCCCTCGCCGTTCAACTGATTGAGTTGTATGGCAAGAGAAGACGTGTGTAGGACATCTACATGCAAGTGCGTTGACAGACATAGATGCGCAGTAGTGTGTGTGTGTGTGTGTGTGTGCACGAGGAGTCAAATCAGGACTTTGATAAATGATAGTTGGGGAGTGTTGGGAGTGTAATGAGGGCTTTGCTCTTCTCCCCTCCCTGTCTAAAAGAGCAAGGTGTGTTTTTGTTTGTGTCTGTGTTACACCCCAAGGCCCTCTCTCGCCTCATTCATCATCCTCAGGATGAGAGAGGTTATCTACTGGTGCTTGTTCCTATTATAACCTCCTATAGGAAACTATTGCATGAAATTATTGCTTGCAATTAGATAACACATACCAAGCCAAATGCAATGATTGATTTAGTGTGGTTTCACAAAAAAAAAATTATGGTTGGGAATTTATCGATATTAAGAAGCGCCTGCACCTGATTTGTTGTTGTTTTTTATTTAAGAAGGGACAATGCATATTACAGAAAATGCCAGAATTAGCCATGGAGGCTAGTTTTCATCTGTAGTCCCTCAAGGTCCTATAGATATAAATACGATACATACAAATCAACAAGTTACTTTCATTAAAAAGTTACTAAAAATATAAAAAAGCATGATTAAAAATAATAAGCCATTTAGCACAACAATAACAATTCAAGGCAATACATTAAAAATACAAAATGGATAAAAGAATCCCATACTCAGTGTCTTCTACACAGTTGATTATCCAGGAGCCATGATTTTAAGACATTTGAGAATAATTTGAAGGATCCACTGGTTCTTATGCTGTTCTGGTATTTTATTCTAGTCAAGTGAATTAGACCCTCATAAGATGAACAAAAACATTTCATACATCCTGAAATCTTCACAACTTTTCTCAGTATTTTTAGAGAAAATTTGTACTTACTGTTTTATCTTCTTTCCTTTTTTACCTTCAGCTTTATGGAACTTTTTCCAGTTGTYAAAACATCTTTAGATTTCACTCCTGTAATGAGCTACGGAGAGAGAGAAAAAAATCCTGCATTGACTGATATGAAACACTTTAAAACTGAAGTTAAATGTAGTCCACTTGCAAAAATATATCTGGTAGTTCTTTCCTAAGGACATATCAGGAATGTACCATTTGTAAACATTAAGCTTTTCTTCGCCAAAGTGAAMCTCGAGGTTTCTTTTGTTTATCATCGTTCCTTAGCAACTGGGGTGTAAGACTTTATTGCCTTGTTTTTGTGGCTCGCAAAGGAAGTGGAGCTTTTAAAAGCAGCTGATCACATTTTCATTTTAGTTGAACCACATTTGTATAGTTGCTTAAAAAGAAAYGTAGTCATTGCAATGTTGAAACATGTAACATTTGTTGCAAATTGCAATTGTATTTGAACAAATATCCAATCCATGAAAAATAGAGAATAGAAACCTTAAGTGTGAAGTGATGTTTTTCTTTTATCTAATTTCTGACCTTTTAGTGTCTCTGTACAACTAGCCTAGACCTTTCAAATCACAGCTGAGTGTATAAAACATTTGTTTTACTCATGTAAACACAACATAAACTACATGTGGTACCAATCCTCCACTCTATTTTTATGACAAAGTGCAGCTCACCTCAGTACCTCACAGCTGTGTGAAACAATCCGTTTCCTGAGTTTCTCACCTCCATGTTGGCTATTTTGTGAACTCTAGCTGCTAGGCAACAGACCAAGCAAAGGAACTTTGTGTTGTTGAGCCACTCGGTGCTCGGCCCGTGTTGCTAATACAAAGTGTTTGCTCTTACTGCGTTTCAGAAAGACCCCTGTGGTTGACAAAACAGCCCTTGCTAAATGGCAGGTAATGTGACAAACACAGCTTTTTGCACATTTTAGCCGGAGCTGTTTGTGTTCACAGATTTGGCCCTCCCTCTTTCACGTCATTTCCTTTTATGAAGTGTTTTTATTCATCTGATTTCTACTTTTTGCTATMCAGAAAGGAGAGATGAGTAATTTTGAGTACTTGATGCATCTGAACACCATTGCTGGAAGGACATACAATGATTTGATGCAGTACCCAGTCTTCCCCTGGGTTCTTGCTGACTATCAGTCAGAGGTAGAGTTTTGCACATGGCATCTTCTCGTTTAATACTATTAATAGAGATACATTAAAAAGCAAAAATAAAATCTTGTTCCTCAACAGATGCTTGATTTGTCAAACCCCTCAACTTTTCGTGATTTGTCCAAGCCGATGGGAGCTCAGTCAGAAAAAAGGAAACAGATGTTCATTCAGAGATATGAAGACATGGAGAACAATGAGGAAGAAGGTATCTTGGCTCATATTTTTGTCATTTTTCTGTTGTATTTCAAAGAAGTTATAAAAAAATCCCTCATTTTTTGTCGTGAAATGTTCTTTACACTTTAACAGACTTGTCTGCACTTTGTCACTACTGTACCCACTACTCATCAGCCATCATTGTGGCTTCCTTCCTTGTCAGGATGGAGCCATTTTCACACACTTTCCAGACACTCCAGGTAAGGCCACAAACACCAGAAATGTAAAAATGTGTCTGTAAGTAAGCATAGGATTAGATGTTGTGAGTTAAAGGTGATGGACTTACAGTATTACTGACTTATTAAATGTTTAGGATTGACTGAATGATGGATGAACGATCATTTTTGTCTTAATTTATGTGAAAAAATAAAAAATTTAAACCCAAATCTCAAGATTGACATTCACCAATATGTTTTTTTTATTATTTTTAAGCAGATTCTTGATAATAATAAAAATCTTACAAGGTATTTTCAAAATTTAAAATGTTTTTTGTGTGTATTTAAGCAGATTTTACAGAGATTTTTAATATATATGCAAATAATTACAAACAGCATATAAAAAAGCCAATACAAATAGCCACAGATGTTACCCATTCACAATACAGTATCCAGTTGATTATAATGAAAAGGCATGCATATTTGATAGTCAGAATAAAGCAATAAAGATGTTCCTCTGGTGAATTGGGATGCCTTTTTGTCTTCTAAAGCACATAACGGGTGTGTGGTAATATCCATAACTGAATTTACATCGCTAACCGAGTTTACTGCCGTATTCKCTATTTTCATTTTATTGAAGTAATTGTTTTACACTAAATTACATTCTCTCTCATGAGATTTCCATCAAAATTATGAAATTTTACATAAAAAAGGTTTTTAACTGCGTAGCTCATGTACATGCCTGTTCATGCATCTGCCCACAGGGGGGGTTTGACATCCCTGAACGGATGTTTTACAGCATTAAGAAGGAGTGGGACTCGTCCTCCCGAGACAACATGGGAGACGTCAGAGAACTGATCCCGGAGTTCTTCTACCTGCCCGACTTCCTGCTCAACTCTAACAACATTCAGCTCGGTAGGGAACAAAACACTCTCTGTTAATCTGTAAATGTGAAGTTCCTGTTGAGGTGTTTATAAACACATTTTAACGAAACATAAAACCTGTAAAAAATATATATTTTATTGACTCCAACCTATAGTTAGCGGTAAATAATTCCTCGAGATTATTGCTTTAAAATGTTCACTGATGTAGGGATAGTAGTTTCTAAAACTATATTTTTTCATAAGCAGGTGTTTAGCAACACAAGGCAGAATTGATGACATCACTTGTTACCAACAACTCAAGAATGATGGAAAATTTTATGTTTATGTCATGACCAGATTATATTACAGAAGCTGTTTTATATAAATTACATATATACAATTTGAAAGGAATGTTGGCTCAAATTGCTAAAAAGCTCGAATTGCTATAAGTAAGAAGCTCGCAAAGACAAGTTACAAATCGCTGTTAATGTATTTGTTTAATTAATGAGGTACCTGGCTTCGCTGATAGGAAATACAGTTTTAATTTAAGGATAATAAAGCTGCAGGAACATTGAAGCTAAATTTGATCAGACAGTATGATGCTCTGCTGTTACCTAGTTATTAGACTGAGAACGTAATCATCCGTAGTCAGCTGGAGTACATGATACATTACAGCAGTAAACCACTTTGGTAGCGTAAAAATTGTTTCCAAACTACAGGAAGTGACCAAACACATCCCTTAGAATACATACCATTACAAAACAAACATTGAAGGTGTAATCACATGAAGCTGTAGTCACTGTTTTTTCTTTGCTGTAATTGACAGTCAGAAAAAAAAATAAGGAAACTGTGATCAAAAATACTTTTTCCGTCAAAATACTAGAGCCATAAATTTAAAATAAAATCAGCTTTGATCCCATTTAAACACAGTAATTTTTCTTTGTTTACTCCTCCACTGGGTATTTTTCAAACTTCACGCTTTGCTGTCAAATCYACACACAGTGATGTGCTTTATTCATATCTTTGTAGGTTTCATGGAGGACGGTACAGCTCTGGGAGACGTCGAGCTGCCTCCATGGGCGAAAGGTGACCCCCAGGAGTTCATTAGAATCCATCGAGAGGTCAGTCACACCTGACCTCGTCTGGCCTGTCTGTTCCAATTGGCCAGCCTGGTCTGTTATACGCCAGGACTTTTCCCATGAGTCTTAATGTTTGTCAATACTATCTGACTTATATGGACAGAGSCTATAGTGTTTTATTGTCTCTTAACAAATATCTACTGTCCACTCTGTGACAGTGTCGGTTTCAGTGAGCTCGTCCTCATTCTTTCTCCGAAAGCGTAAGAGACGGATGTTATTCATATCAGTCACTGTCTTATTTCTTACATTCTGTCAAAGCTGTTTTGTCACATTGGAATTGGTTCATTTTGTTTTTAGATAAAATGCCTCATTGTTTTCCTTACAAAACATGCATGAAAAGCCGTGTATCTGTGCTGTAGATGACAGACAGCAAGCCTATTTAATGTGACTGATACAGGGACAAGACTTTCTTATAAGGCCATTATTCCTGTGAGTTGGTAATGGCTTGAATATTCTCTCTGTTTTTTTCTCTTTCTTTTAGCTCCCTCTTCTCCTCCCCCGTGCAAAGTTACTGTGTGCCTTTTTTGTCTTTCTTATGTGTAACCCTCCCTTTCTTCATTTCTGGGGCACGATGGTTATCACTCTGTAATCTACTGAACTACCCGTATTCCCCACAATTCTCATAAAATTAGTGACTTTACATTTTTTCCCTTCACAGACAAATTAACTCAGAACAAAGTATCCTAGTTATATATATATTTTTTTTCAATTTTGTGTTCTTCCAGGTTGGGTTTATTATAGCATGGATATAGCTGGTCATGATGCACATATTCTCTTATTAACTCTTCAAAACCAATTTCTGGCTAATTCAACCTAAATCATTCTTTAATTCTACCATGAAGATATGCTCATAACAGCAGTTCAGCCTCCTCCTGGTCTGGATTCTTAAATTGACTTTTGGAGGAAATCATTCTGTACCTGAATAATTTCATTGGCTGTGCAATCTTGGAGAAGTTAGAGTGCTCCAAACTTTCTTATTAACAGTTTGAGTAATGATTTTGGGCCTGCAATGATAATAATAATAAGTGCAGCACAATTCTGCTATTTAAAACTGCAGAATTCTTGTTTAGTGCTGCTATAATATTGCATGATAAGCTGGCTGTTGTGTTACAACTTCTGCTCTGTTTGCAGGTCCTGGAAAGTGACTATGTGAGTTCTAACCTCCACCTGTGGATCGACCTCATCTTTGGGTACAAGCAGCAAAGTCAGGCAGCTGTGGACAGCTTGAATACGTTTCACCCCTACTTCTATGCCCAGAATTGGCAACAAGGTGCAAAAGACCCCATAATCAAGAGCACAATCTTAGGATACGTTAGCAACTTTGGCCAGATTCCTAAACAGGTAAAAATATACATATCTGTTATTTACTTCATGTTCAGTGAGTGCAGATTTTTGCATTTTGGAGAAATGTTTACTCTGTAATCATCTTTGTCTTTCCTACAGCTCTTCACGAAGCCTCATCCACCTCGCAGTGGCTCTAAGAAAGAAAGCTCTTCACCATCCCATCCWGTTCCATTTTTTTTCAAACTGGACAAATTAAAGGCTTCCGCACAGCCATTCAGAGGTACAGCTGCACATTTAGGGGCGTAGACAAATTGTAAGATACAGGGGCATCTTAGATTTGGTTCCAGCTGTCTGCCACTGTGACAATTAAAATTTCTTAAATTTATGTCTTTCACTTTTGACAGAGGGCTTCGAGGTAACAAAAATCTCAGAAAAAGTCCAGAAGTTTTGAGACTGGTTTTTAATTCACATGCCACTGTGCATTTAATGTAAGCTTTAAAGTGTCCTGCATATCCTTCAGATACAAAAGATCAAAGAAAACATCTTTGTATTTATGAAGTTTGCGCAACGACACATGATTTTACCCGAAAATGAAACATTTTTATAGAGTTTAGCTCAGCCAAAGTGGAACGGGAAGTGACATCAAAGGGGAACTCTTTAAAAAAATAAGTCCCTGGTCTTTGTTTATTGAAACAATAGTATTTAAACTCTTACTCTTCTTCRTCCACCTCTGATAGTGGCTCAAAATAATCTAAAGAAACATCAGATTCTTCTCTACACACTAATGTGTTTACATTAGACATTCCCCTTTGACATCACTTCCTGTTACTTGACATGCAAAAATCTAAACAACTGTTCACCACAGTGGAATAAAATTTTTTTATTCAAAAATATTAGCAGCGTTATCTTTCCAAAACTGCATTCATATTTATTAAAAAAAGTCACAGACACTTTAAAGTACTGTAAAAYCATGGCTTGTTTACAGTACAGTATCTGTATTGTACTACAAACTCTATTYCTTTATAAAAACCAAAAGGACTAAAATGTGCTATAATAAATATAAACATAACATATTTGCTCAAACATCTGCATTCATTATTTTTCCATGTTTTGCCAAGCATAATCTATATCTCTTGTGTTTGGCACTATTTTTGTTGTTCCCTCTTTTAATTTCTTCCACATCATTTGTCTGTTATTATACACTAGATGTGCTCCGATCTCAAGGGAATCATTGAAACGCAGTGGAATTTTCCATAGATTAATTTATCCTACAGAAAGGTAGAAAGAGCTATCTGTTAGAGCTACAATATGGAGATGAGTCTTCAGCTGAGCTCTACTTAATAATCTGAATATCCCTACAGGCCCACTGAGGGAGAGGAGATGAATCTGCGAATGCTTAGGGAGAGATTCCTGCATATTACATTTCATATTAAATCTTAGAGTGTCTGATCTGATCAATAAGGAGATAGAGATGAATAGGAAGAGGAACGTTAGGACTAATGCAGACTGAGCTACTTTCTGGGGATTTTAGAAGCAGATCTGGCAAAATGATCTAATGATTTCTGCCTGTTCCTGCATGAATAGGTCAATTACAGGCACAATTACTGCCTCTTGTATGTTTCCTCACCCACATACGCTCACATTTCTACTGTCTAGGATGCAGGTGCCCCCCCWGGACAAACCCTCGCTTCTTATAACTTGGGAAAAGCTGTTTTAATTGCCCAGTTTTCTCTGGTCAGTTTAATAAAAAAAAATCMTAAGTTTACCGAGCTACCAGACTCTTTAACGTGATGCTTTTGAAGAGCTATTATCTTTATTTGGCCTGACAAGTTTATTGAAGCTCACAAATATGCAGAATGAGGTCACTTTTTTAAATTAATTTTTTACTCTATAACCTTTTTTGTGTGCTTGCTGCTTTATATGACTGATACTTTATTTCCAATCATTCTTTTTTTTTTCACTGGTTGTGCCACTTATTTCTTTATTGCAGAACTGCCAAGAGGTCCGGTCGGTCAAATACTGTGTCTGGAAAAAGAAGTTGTGGTCCTCGAGAAAAACCGGTTACTCGTGTCGCCACTGTTTGGCTGCTTCTTCAGCTGGGGGTTTCCAGACAACAGYTGTGTCTTTGGAAACTATTCCACAGAAAAGGTACGCGTGATAATATTTTGTATTTCTTGCCTGGATGTACAAGTTGTTTAAATTAAATGTAAGTGGACATGTCATGCTTTTAAATCCTTTTTTCATGTTTAAATCATTCAGTTGGGGTCTATATAAAATTGAACGGMAATGCTTTGGTCTGAATTCCACTTTATTGTAACTCCACAAGCCCCTCTCTCACCCCTTTTCTGAGGTGTGTCTCAAAGCAACTCGTTTTGAGGCTGTTTCTTTAAATCCAAATCAATGCAACTTTTCTGCACTCCTAGAGACTCTAAGTACACAACAAAATGCCTTTAATGGCTAAAAAGTGGATTTTGCATGAAATGTCCCCTTTAAGATCAGATAATTCACCAGCTAAGCAGCCTTTGTTTTGAACGGGCTAAAATGGAAATGTTTAAAAGCAATGATTATTTTTGAAAAGTCAAGTAATTAAAAAGCTGACTTTATATCAAGGGAAGAAGCCAAACAGAAACGAGAATAAAATATTTCCCTGAACGATTTGCTGCTACGTTTCTAAAAACTCCTCATCTTGTGATCTTATTCAGCTGAGTTAAAAACGTACAAAAATAAAAAGGACCTGCTGAATTTGATAATCATAAAAAATCAAATCTAGCCTTTATAAACAATGCATCGTGATGTATTCATACTAGGTGTGTGTGTGTGTGTGTGTGTGTGTGTGTGTGTGTGTG